AACATGAAATGACAATTTGTACTTTATAATGTAAGGAAAAAGGAATGATAAAAGAAGAAATGTTTCTTATTTGAATATATTTTGGTTTCCCATTGTATACACTAACCTGTTGTTTTTCTTTTTGCTTAAAGAATCTACAACCATGCCAATCCAACGCAGAAAAGTTGTGGAGGGCAACACCCATGTCCTGAAGTCTCCTGTTGGGATTGTACGGATTCTAGCAGCTATCTTCGCCTGTGTTACATTCAGTTTGATTGCCCACAGAGGAGGCTGGTGGGGCAGAGCTGGTGACTTATGCATGTTCTCCTGGTGCTTCTGCTTTGTTGTCACTATCATTATCCTTATTGTTGAGTTTATAGGGATACAGAGCCGGATGCCTGTGTCTTGGAAGAATTTTCCAATCACATTTGCAACATTTGCTGTCCTAATGTGCCTGTCGGCTTCTGTCATGTATCCATTATTCTTCCTTGAAGACCGGAGCCACAGCAGTGAAAGGCACACTTACCAAGTTGTGGCGACTGTGTTCTCTTGCCTCACCACCTTGGCATACATCTTTGAAGTGTCTTTAACAAGGGCTCGACCTGGAGAAGTTACTGGCTACATGGCTACTGTTCCTGGGATACTGAAAGTCATTGAAAGCTACATTGCTTGCATCATCTTCATCTTCATTTCAGAACCCCCTCTGTATGAAAAACATGATGCATTGAAATGGTGCCTGTCTGTGTACTGCATCTGTTTCATCCTTTCTGTTGTGGTCATTATTCTATGTGTTGGGGAGTGTACAGGCTGGCTGCCTTTTACTTTTGAGAAGTTCCTCAACGCTTACGCTCTCTTAGCTGTCCTGCTGTATGCCTCTGCTGTGATCGTATGGCCCATTTTCCAGTTTGATTCAAAGTATGGGGGCACAACAAAAAGGCCAACCAACTGCCATTCTGCTATGCTATGTATCTGGGATAAATTGGTAGCCGTTGCTGTTTTGTCAGCTGCCAACCTTATAGTTTACATCATAGATCTTGTTTATTCTGCAAGACTTATCTTTATCACTGTTTAAATTTGAAAAGCATTTTGTCTCTATATCATAGAATAGAATCAATTTTAATAATAGAAACTGCCCATTTCAAACTTGATAAGTAAATCATTTACATGAATTACCATTTCTAAATTGCTCCTTGATAGTGCATAGTTGTCATAACTCAGATCGGCAAGCGAATTCAATAAAGCATTTCAATTATGATGCACATAGATCAGCACCTCTCAGCTACCAATTACATAACCTCCTTACTGACCTCAGTAAACTAACTCTCTAGTTGAGGTGAGTTTCAGGGCTTTTCACGTAACATAAGCATCTTTCACTCCACAAGACTAAAAAATTGGCCATCCACCAAACCTTGAAGCCTATTTTGCAGGGTTGGATTTGCAATCCACTACTGTTCCATCTTTAACACATCTACAGTACTTAAATTGGTAAAACCAAAAATCCTTTACATGTTTAACTGCTTCTGTTCTCACAGCTAAATACGCAGGAAAATTACATCATTTAATCTATAAGACAGTATACTATAGAAGGATTTAGTACACTTTCTTAATAGGTAACTTAAATCATTCGCCTAATAAGACAGTATAGTAAAGAATAATGTAGTACAATTCCTTACTAGATAACTCATATTATATACTCAAAAAGACTGTGTACTATAGACGGATGTCACATGCTTCCTTACCAGGTAACTTACATCATTTACCCAATAAGCCAGTATGCTATAGAATAAAGTAGTACAATTGCTTACCAAGTAACTTACGTTACAATTATTTATATAGCACTAACCTATTCCACAGCTCTGTACAATCTTTTAGACAAGACAAGTAAGAAACACTGACGAGCATCATTTGACCTACAGAAACAGTAGGTGAGGAGCTTACATCATTGATCATACATACATCATCATACATACTCATACATCAAATGAGCTTACATCATACATACTCATACATCAAATGAGCTTACATCCTTCACCCAATAAGACAGTATGCTATAGAAGGATGTTGTGTACTTCCTTACCAGGTAACTTATATCATTCACCGAATAAGACTGCATACTAGTTACTCAATGGGGAATTAAAGCTGAACCCAATGCAGATATAACACACGTTAACAGTTGTTCCTTCATCAACCATTAATTGCATTTAGGCCAATAGTGTAAACACCTTAATAATATAACTTAGCAGACTGGGATAAATATAACTTAGCATACTGGGATAAAGTAAGTCAGTGCTAGGTGTGCTGCCTGCCAAGACAGGAGGAGAGCAGATGGAATTGCACTTCAGTCTGCTGCTACTCCTTCACTTGCCAATCACAGACTTGGGGTAGAGAAATTACGTTGCTTTTATATATTTTTTTCGTTTGGGATCAAATGGGGAAGGATGTGAACCTCTGTTCAGGTTTTATACTGCTATCTGATGCTCCATAGATTTTCCCTCAGAGTAAATACAGCAGTACTATCTGGATAGCAGTACAAACCAAACAGGGGGTTCTAACCATTTCTCACTCTTTTCAAAGCAAAGAAAAAACTTTTTGGCTGGACACACACTTTAAGGGTCTCATTAATGTAAAACATATTTATCTGGGTATCCATAAAATATCTAGCTTTTGCTTAAAAACTACTGAATTGTATTAAATTTTTCTTGTCTTGCTTGGATTGAGATGTAGCTTCACCAAAGAACAGATGAAAGCTGTCATATGAGAAATGGTGGGGTTGCCATTCCTGGCCTCCTCCTAAAAATTCTCCTTACCTGGCCGCCTACTGATGCACTGGCTTCCCTGCCTTCTGAATTTTTTTAACCAGAATAAATAGACGGATCAGAAATTTTGACTTCCCTTCTTGCATACTTTTTCCAGGTCAGTGATGGTAGCATACATTTTCTCTTGTGACAGTTTTTTTTTTTTTAAACAGAAAATATTCTGTACATACAAAACAAGAATTTAAGCTTTTTAAGAGGACCTGTCCCTTGCACTCAGCTTTTCAGTGAACAAGGCTGATATGGTGTTCTCCGGAACAGATACTTTGTATGCATTTGAAAGGGACCTCCACAGGTACCTGTGGTCATGATACCTATATTTTCTTAGATATATTTTCTCACTATAGTCCTTCCAGGTTATTCATGTCTTTGAATGAAGAATAACAGCATGTGCCATTGTTATGTCTAAATTAGTGTTCTCAAAATGTTTTTTGTATTTAGTTATATATAGAAGTTAAAATATTTTTAAATGCAGAGGTTTATTGAAGTCTGTTTCACACATGTGGTTTAGATCATATTTTACACATAATTTTACTATTGCATAACATTTTTAACTAATCATCTACAAATTAATTATACGTTTTTGTAGGGTGGAGAATTTCTGTTGTGTTTTATACTGCTGTGTGTGTCCCGCTTGGGATGATATTTTGTGACAGTCTACCCAATAGGAAGTTGAAATCTGCTCGATGGGGACACTGGCAGCTGTGACAACCTAACAGAGCTTCCAACACTTCTTGCTCTATGCAAAATATTTACCACTGAAGTTCCCAAGAGGTTTTACACTTATGATCCAAAAATCCACTTTGGTTTGAGTTGACCTTTTTAAAGATTGCAGAAAATAATCTGGTGTACAGGCACAATCCAACAAAATGCTTTGGCTCGCATGTTACAGCTTGATTGTCCAATCTCTTTTATATCTACCAACAACTTTGTAGGTGAGGGTCTAACTGATTGGATCTACATTGAATAGACTGTCCTGAAAGGCCCAAAGAAAAAACATGGTTGATAAATCTAAAGGAGGTTGTAAAATTAGATTGTTTAATGTATTCCTCGTTTAGGAGAACCGCAATGTTACATATTAGGTTATTTTTGACAAAACGTTCCTTGGGGCATTTGGTGGAAATCTTGTCACAGTTTTCTTATTGGCTGTTACACCTGAGATACAATTGAAAAAGCCATCACAAAACAGCAGTAATGCAAGTAAATCCAGGGATGACGTGTACAATCAGTATGTCAAGAGACAGCTGAAGAGCTTGTATTGATGGGCTTTGGGCTTGTGTCGATGGCATCAATTTGATATTAGTTTGAGTTGCGTCTGAAATTAATTGACAATTGCATTTTACCTGCAATTAACGTTCTTTCCGACTTGCATTTGACCTGCTTGAAGCAGGTTTTGCATTCCCATTAACTTGTATGTCAACAAAAGCCAAAATAAAGTCAAGAAAGTTGTATGCAAACGAAAGCCCACCAACGCAGGCCTTAACAGGAAACCAAGAATAACCTTGTATCTGTTTTTTTTTTTTTTTTTTTATATGTTGTCTTGATATAGGAAGTATTAGAGAACAATCATGCATATTAGTACAAAATGTGTGTAATGTGCTTTACATATATATGCAAATATTCTCTATATTCAGTAAAGCAGAGAAAAGAGCAGTTTTGATGTTTAAAGTGCAGTACTTCATTGGAGCCAACACAAATTTCAGTTTGCCAAAGATATTTCAGTGAAAGCTGTATTCTGATTGGTTGTTATGGGTAACTGCTATTAGTACATTGCTAATTGCTTAATAAGCCTAACTGTGTTTGGTATTGATGTCCTCATACAAAAAAACATGTTACTCTATGCACTGTGCATCATATAAACAGAGGCTTTCTTTGCACAAGATATATTAGCATGCTCAGTGTGCCAATGTGCCTTCTTTTGAACAGTATTGTAAAGTATTATATATTATACTTATGTCCTTTTTATACTTTTGTGTCAATCTTGTGCTTTTTTATTTTTAAGAAATGATAATAAATAATTTGTTGTACACAACCGGTCTACCATGTTTTCTTGAAGGTGAATGAAGACAATATTGTTATGCTTTTGTTTTGTTGTCTACATTAAAGTTAATGGGATTTTTATGGCCTACATTTATGAATGTTGTTGTTTTTCTGCTGGTCAAGGCACTGTGATTATTATTTTATCATATAAAAACTCCATATTGTTTTTGTTTGTAATATGATTTATCATCCCAAGCATCCTTTTATTCAGAGCTAACAAACCACTAAATAGAAAATGAATGTAACCTATTGCATACCAGTTAGGGGATACTGCGTGGTACCACATCCACCAAAATCAATAATAACCAAATCTCGAAAAACTCAGACTTTTTTAGATACCAACTCACACAAAATGCCTTATTTAATTATATATGTATTTGTTTTTCTAAACATTAATCCAAGTTTATCACATTTTACACAGCTGACAATACATTAATCCTCTATATTCTACCTGATATCCATAAACTAGTTTATATGCAGGGCTAATCTCCCCAGCTACACCACTTAATAGTAAATAAATAATTATTGTGAATTACCTTTTGGTATTAACTATATTTTGATATTGTTAGTGTTTCCCATTTCATGTTTTGTGATAGTATATATCCTCGTATAAGTATTAGGGCTGGTACTGATTAAAATTTTCGTGTTCGATTAATCGATTTTTTTTTTTTTAAATCGATTAATGTTGATTAATTATAACGCACATACAGATCCAACTACATTGGCCTATACACCTACAGCACAGCAATTAAGTAATAAAATGAACTAAGATCACACTAATCCAGTGTGTTATTAATCTCACTTGCCCCACTCAATATGCCCGCCACTTGAGTGGGGCAACTCAGTATAATAATGTGCTGGATTAGTGTGATCCTAGTTCATTTTATTACTTCACATTGCTGTGCTGTATGTGTATAGGCCAATGCCTTGGCTGGCGCTCTTGCAGAAAGTTTCTTGGGCAAACTCACCGGCTCAAGTGGCTCCATCGGCTAACGAAGGGGGAGGAGTCCGGTGACATCACGGACATCGACATCACCGGACTCCTCCCTCTTCCCTTTGTTAGCCGTCACGGACATCGACATCACCGGTGACGTTGATGTCCGTGACGTCACCGGATCGCCGACGGGACTCCCGGAAGCCGGCGGAGAGGTGAGTGTTTTTCATTAGCGATCAAAATAATTTTAATCGGAATCAAAAAGTTTAACGATTAATCGAGAAATTAATCTTTAATTTTCACAGCC